CTTGCCTCAATGAATGCAAACAAATCAAATATAAAATGGGTTTTTTGCTTACAGGGTCCAGAATCTTTACAGTCTGCTCTGCTCCCCATGCCTGTTACAGGTTTTGCTGATTGCCCTTGAGCTACTCCTCTCTTGTTCTCTGTAGCACAAATAGCACCAGCAAATAACAGTGATCTCTCCTTGCCACTTTCAGATCAGGTGAAAAATACTCCAGGCTCAAGACTAAACCCTTAGGCAGTTATGATATATGACCTGTATTTTGGAAGGAGGCTTTCAGTTTCATAATTTGACCTAGCTACTTAGTGTACATCTCAAGAAAAGCTGTTGAAATGACCGTTAGTTTTCTCTAAACAATTTCTTCACTTGATCTTAATATTAATAAAATTATGTTAAGGAAAAGAGACACGGCACAATTCTCATTTTTGAAGTAGATTTTTAATGTGAGATTGGGAAGCTGGGCCTTGAATTCTTCAGTTCTCTAACCACAACCCTCAAATCACACCTCTCTGCAAGTGAGTTTTGCACATGTGCATTCTGTCAGGGAGTCACAGCAGTTCCTGCACCAGTTTGCAGTTCTAAAACATCTGTAAATCCAGCAGGATTTACCAGTCTCACCTGGGTGTGTCTAGTGCTGGGCTGCTTGTTTGTAATGCTGATGGTTTTTTGGAAAAGTCCTGCTTTATGCTTTGATTTCCTGATCACTGGTTCCTTTTAATTACTGTGAAATTTATTTTAGAGCAAAGACAATCAGGAGTACAGGGTGCTGTGTCTGAGGGCTGGAAACAGAGTACAGAAAGGAGCCTTTCACTTCAGAGCTGCTGGTTGGAATCCAGCTCAGGTCCAGGCTTAGCAAAAATCACCCCTGTGTGATGGCTTCTGGGTGCCCTGCACTCTACATCCACAAATGAGTCAGTGTCCACATCACACAAACCACAGAACAATTGGTGCTACTGTAATTGGGAGTCTAGTGGCAGCACCAGTGGAAAGGGCAGGGACTTGAATGAGCATGGAAAATGAGCTGCTTTATTCCCTGCTCCCTCAGGTCACCTTCGAGACACATCTGTTTGAGGAAACTTAGAAGAAATTCGATCTCTGGTAGCTCCCTTCTGGAGATAGAAGAATTTACTTTGCAGTACTGACAATCTGACACCCACTAAAAAACTTTACGTTCAAGAAAAATAAAGATCATTATGGGATCGTTTAACATGGGAAAGCCTGAACTTAAAAAAAAAAAAAAAAAGCACTATGTATGATTGAAAAATCAACAATAAAATCCAAATGCTGACTTGAAATAATAGGAACCTAGCCAAACTAATATTATAGAGCATGGCCACCACTGCCAAAGATTGCTTCACTCAAAACCCCAGGGAAATCCTGCTCTTTTATTAAACCATTGAACAATCTCTTCTAGTTGAATCCATTTGAGGGAAAAATTAAGGAGTGTTTCCTCAAAAATTCTTTTTGGAGGTGAGAACATGGATTGCTAGAAGAGATATTGGACTTTATTCAGCCTGAGATGATGCTTTGATATGTTGGAAACGGGGACTGGAAGGACCAGCAGCACAGGGCACCCTGAAGTGTGCCCATGAATCCATGGTGGAGCCTGGAAAAGACCTTTGGAGGTCATCTGCTCCAACCCCTGAACTTGGCACTTCCACTGGGTCTGCTGTGAAGTAGGGAGCTCCTTTCTTAGGTTTTATATGTATCATTGGTATTCCTAAAAAGAAAAAGCTGGCAGGAAACTAATTGTGTACTACCAGCAGTGAATTTAGCCCCGTAGTCCCCATAAGCCTCAAACAGCTCCACTGTGAAGCCACCTCTTAACTTGCTGAAATGACACAGTCACCTATGCTGATTGCAGAGGTGAATGTGGCATGAATTTTTGGCTAAGTGAAATTTTAAAAATGTGTTTAATGTCAGATAAGTTTGTTAGCAAATCTGAAATGTTCGGAGACAGCTTGGACTCATGTGAATTTATGCCAAATGCAACCAAAAATAGAACCTTAAGTTGAAGTTTTCCACCGCAGTTCTTCAATGCCACGACGTTTTGACTTTTCATTTTAAAACAGTTTAAAAATTTAATCTAAATAACTTTAAATCATTTTAAGAGCACCTCAGACCCAGGAAGTTCATTTATAAGTATTTATTTTGGGGTGGGGTGGGGGTGAATTCAGAGCAACACAATTCCTAAATGTTTGTGTGTTTGAGTGTGTACATGGTGGTGGGACTGTTACCTGCCACATCTCTGCTTTTCTGGTTTTTGACTTGTCTTAAGTAGATGAGGAAATATGAAATTTTGTAGATTTGCTTGTACAAAGGAGACAGGGTTTAGATCCCCATGTTTGTTCCCTGTTGTTGCAGTAAAGCAGGATTTGAAACCCAGGGCTGTGAAGGTCAAATTCCCAACTCTGTGGTGTCTTGTGAAGATACACCTGTGTCATGAGGGTGGTGGGAAATAAGCACATCCTTTGAAGCTAAATATGGAGAGGTATTGTGAAGCACCACAGAGGTGCGAAGGCCAGCTTCAAAATTCCTGGGAGCCTGGGGATAACATCATCCAGAGCACAGATTTCAGAGTTTAAAAAAAAAAAAAAAAAAAAAAAAAAAGGGAGGATTTCAGCATCCCGTATCACACCGCCAGTTTCTTGTAGTGAAGAGTATGTGGTGAATATTTTTGCCTTTTCTATGACAAGTGCTGAATTCCTCAGGGGGCTGGTGATTGTGCAGAAAGCTGGGTCCCTCCCTGCCTTTCTCAGCTGGGAGCAGCCAGGGCTGAGGCTCAGCCAGGGGAGCCTGCCCCAGGGCTTCCCTTGTTCCAGCAGGATGCTGAATTCAGCAGCAGGAGCAGGCTGAGGGGTTTCAAGGGTGAAAATGGGAGCAGAAATGCATTTGGCCATCCTGAGTGCCTGGTAGTTGGCAAGCAGTGGTCACATCATCAGGCAGACTGTTCTTCCATGGGCAAAGAGGGGAGTGCATCCTCCTTAATGGGAAGAAAAATAAGCATTATATGCAGCAACACAAAGTTCTTTATGGGAAAGCAGTGCCTAAACACTATGGACTAAATTGGTGCAGGGTAAGATCACTGTTCAGAAATTGGTTCTGAAAAAGAGAGTCCCAAGGTAAGTCAGAGGCCAGAAAATGAACTGCTTTTGTAAATTCCCCGCAATTCCACACAGTGAACGAGGTTACACATGAATGAAACCATGATGTATGATTTGGCTTCTTGAGCATTAAAAATCCTTTAAACTATAGCTGCAGTGTTCATTCCCGAGTGTTTTTACTTTGTGTATTTATTTAGAGAAAGCTGAAACAGTTTGCCATTTATGTGTATTCAAAAGCTGCACATTTCCAAGACTATAAAAGAAACCTTTAAAAGAAATTGCTTTCAGAACTCGAATGATGATATTTTTAAATGGGTTTTAAAATTCATTAAAAATTAAATGGGTGTAAGAAAGAGAAAAATCTCAGTTGTCATCTTTTTGTGACTTAATCATAGAAAGTGATTGTGATGCACACATAAAACTGGACAGCACAGATTTCTGTTCATCATGTTTATTTCCTTTTATGTTATGCATTTGCCTGAACAGTTGCTTCCCACATTGTGCATTATCTTCTGTGTGAATGTTTTGAAATATTTAAAGTTGGAGGTCATATAAAATATAGCTGTATGTGTCATTCTAAATTTGTGCATAAACTCTCACACAGATTTGTGTTTATGTACACATACTGGAAATCTTAATTTTATAGTTCTGGATGGTAAATATTTGTATTTATAATAACAGAATGAGACCTAGAATGCTTAATTAGATGTCAAAACTATGTAAATAATACTTGGATATAGGAATTGGGTTAGGATCCCCTGAAGTATGGTGAGTTTTCAGTGTTTTCAAACAACGACAGCTTTCCAAGCATGCAAAATATGAAAGTCTAAGTTACATTTTGTAATGACGTTGTTCAGGTTTTGTTCTTAAAAAGTAGCTCCAGGAAGTGTGGATATTGCCATAGGAATACTATTCCATTCATTTATAACTCAGGAACATTGGAGGAATGAGATTTGTTGAAATGACCACTCTCAAATAATGTCAATGTATTCAATTTTCTGATGTGTAAGCAGAAAAATTAATCACAGAAGAGAATTTATTTTTTAAAAAATAAATAAATAAAATTAATTCCAAAGTGTTATTTTGCACAGATTGCTGTTTAAGGTACCTTTAATGTTTTCAGCAAGTCCATTCTGTCAGGGCTGCTGTAAAATCAGGCTCCACAGCACCTGCTCAGCAAAGCCTTTGTACTGTCCTGGAAGCAACATGCTCTCAGTTGCTATTTTCATGGCCTGCTGGACGGAAGATGTGTAAGCCAGGGTTTCACATTGCTGAGTAGTGAAAATTAGAGCTGCCTGACTTCTTTGAAGGGGAAGAGATCATATTTTCTTTAGTTGGGTGGAATGTGGGCTTTGGACTAATATTTTCTGTGCTAGGTGCAGCCTGTCCATTCCTTGTTGGGGCTTATTCTCCAGCAGTCTTTTGCTTAACCCTCTGCAAGTCTGTACAGCTTTGTAGGGAAGAGCAGAAGTCTGGGAGCAACTCCCTGTCCTGTTGGGCAAGATGTCAGCATATTGGTCAGTGAAAGAGGGAATTGCTTGATTCAACCTAAAGCTTTTTTCCATTGTGCCACCAAGTTCCCCAAAAGCTCCATACTCGCCCAGCCCTGCTGGGTCAGTATGATCAGAAGTTAAAGGTTGCCATCTAACGGGTAATGTACATAATACAATCTCTTCATCGGGTTTTACCAAATTCTCTCTTCTTGTTCTTCTCCATGTACCTGTGAGTATTTTCTTTACAAGGCACTAGAGGAATGAGAATGATATTTTATTCAGATTTTACATGGGATGGCAAATGATACTTTATCAGTAACAAGGTGTAGCAACCCAGTGAGAAAATCCAGTCATTCAGTGTAACCTGATTAAATCTGATTCCTTAATGCTTTTTCTATTAATTCAGATATAGATGAGTGCTCCTTTGAAAGGACCTGTGACCACACCTGCATCAACTATCCTGGAAGCTTTGAGTGTCTCTGCCACAAAGGCTACACCTTGTATGGACTGACACACTGTGGAGGTTTGGAAACTGAGTTTTGCTTATATGTGTGTTTGTTTACAGAGCCACACATTCTTTTAGATTAAGGTTTTATAACTCAAGATGATAAGGATATAAAATTAAAATAAACTTAAAATATCATGAGCTGGGTGTGACTAAAATTTCAGTTTCTCAGATTTGCTGAAGCATTCCCAAGAGAAAAACACCAATGAAAACCAGTCCCACCATTTTTTGATCAGAACCTCCAGAGGAGTGAGGTTACTCACAACTGTAGGGAGGCATCATATGATGGACAACACAGAGAATAGGGGAAAGAAGTCAGTTTTGCAAAGTTTATGTATTTTGGCTCTGATGGCATTTGTCCTTACCAGTCTGTGACATAAACTGCCTGTGAAATGCGTAACAGAAGGCTGTGGTGGATCTTCCTCTCATCTTCTGGGGACCTGCTTTCAACCTTTTTGGTATGACTGGAAAGAATTGGTGCTGTAATATTTCCTTATGTAGGAGAGGGATATTTTTGAAGTGCAGCATTACCACAGTCACCAAATTAGAGGTTCAGCTGATGCAGCAGAAACAGGTGCTGGTCTCTCACTTCTGAGGGCTGAGCTCACCTGATTTTGTCACGTCAACATGAGACACTGCTAATGGTATCTCTGCATGGCTTCTTTTCTGGGAGAAGGGTGTAGGGGGTGTATGCTGGTGTCTCTTTTCTGGAGAAGTATCACATGAATTCTTGTAAGAGTAGAGGCAGGCAGGGAGAGAAATAAGAGTCTGTCTAATAAAGCAGTTTGGAAGCAGACCCCACTTGAAAGCAGTTGTGTAAGCAAATTGAGAGTCTGAAAGTTTTTGGGACCTTTGTTATGTGAGGTGTAGAGATACAGATCTTCAGTTTCACTGTTAATTCCTTAATGACTTAATGCACTGATTTAGGGAAAGCCTCAAAATTTGGGGTTCTGCCTCAGTCTTTAATTAACCTTCAGCCTGAGCTCAGCTTCAGCCTTTTCAGTAAGACTGGAGAAGGACCCAAACTCTTACTGGAAATACTCCATGCTGAACTCTGAGAAAAAACATAACTGGATCCAAACCTCCTGCTTTTTCCATTATAAGTAGATACAAAGTCACAACTCTAAATCCAGTTTTACCATTTAGACCTGTCACTAGTTTTAGTCCTTACATGCTTGATTTTGAGGTCTACCAGTGAGCCAGAGCATCAGGAATTCTGTGTGTCTCCTGTTGATTCGGTGTCATTTCAGCTCATTAAATAAATAAATGTTCTTTCTGGTGGTGGGAAGAGAGGAGATGGGAGATTGACCTTGCTGGCACGAGTATATGAATGATGAATGCATGGACTAAGAAGGATACACCTTATACTGGGGTTAATTATTTTCTAATATATCAAAAGCTGAAAGATTTTCTGTGAAATATCAATGATAACATATACAGTAATTTCTTCACCTTCTTGCAAGCTTTACCTTTAATTTTTATTTGAGGAGTGGAAGCCTAAACTACACTTTAACTGCTTAGTTTCTTTTGAAAGCATCATTTCCTCCTTCACCTGAACTTCTAAAAGAAGCTCTGGGAATCACTGGAGAATTTACCTCCTTGTTTTGCAGAAGTGATGTAATCTCACAGAGGTTAATGCCATTTTTCTGTATAATGCATTATTGTCCAGATGCTGCAGAGACTTTCGAGCATGTTTTGTATCTTGTGAGTACTTCCAAGAATTTCATTGTAACTGCTCTTGGCAAGTAAACTGTATTAAATGCATAAATCCTTGGGAGAGTAGGAGCTATACATGCAATATGCACTAAAGTCTGTCTTTATGCATGTTTATATGGACTCAAATGTAAAAGAGAGAGTAGAAATAGGTTTCCTTATGCAAGTCATGTCTTAATGCACAGTATATGTGTGTACACATGGTTAAGACTCTTCACAACTTTAAATATGTTTTCAGATATTGATGAATGCAGCATCAGCAATGGAAGCTGTGACTTTGGGTGTCTAAATACCATGGGGAGCTATGAGTGTGTCTGCCCACCTGGAAAGAAACTGCACTGGAATAAAAAGGACTGTGTTGGTGAGTATGGAACTGTGACTCAGAGGTGACTGTGGTGACTGTCACCAAGAGGGTGCAAAGGCCCCTGCTTCTGTCTGACAGGCTGCATTTTAACAATCTAGATCCCCAAATTCATTTTATAAACTCAGATAACACATGATCCTGTAGAGCTCCATGGGCTAGGATACAATTCTAGGTCGATTAGTGAATGAGCAATAGGTTGGATTTTATTTGCGTTGAATGTTTTTTTTTTTTTTAGTTTATGAGTCCATTCACAGAAATCTAAGTGTTATTATTATCTTAGGTATTTTATACTTTTGTCCTTAATTTGAACTCTTCCCATCTCTGTAATGTCAGTTATAACTCTGTTTACCTCTAACATTACTTTAGAATATTCAAAATATTTAACTGTTTACAAGTAGAACATGGTAGGACATAACACCTACATTCCTACAGAGCATGTACAGAACCATACCCCAGTTTTTCAAGTTATTTCTAAAGGTGTCCTGCTTCATATAGAGTACTGACACTAGCTGTGTCAAAAGTACTAATCACAATGAACACAAATCCTGAGACCAGAAAAATTTGGTACTTGCTGCTAGTGCCACTTTGTGGCAGACCTGAATTTCTGTATCCTTTAAATGATGACTTCTTTTTCTGGAGTCTTATTTGAAGCACAGCAAATCTTGATCATGGCTACAGCCAAAGTATTTTCTGTGAGATTTTCATTCTGTTTTTTTTTTTAATTTTTAATGAGAATGGCATACCTGGGGTTTTCCCTGGTCAATTTTTTTTTAGCCACAAATAATTTCTCATAGGCATATTTGGGGATGATGCCTAATACCTGATTGGGAGCAAGACAGAACAAGAAAAAGGGGGATCTCCCTTCAGGGAATCTCTGTTCATACTGAGAGAAAGCACTGCTTAATCTGGAGCAGAGAGCACTGCACTGGCCTCATGTGATCATGCAATTGTGGCATTTTTTACATGGATACAGCAGTATGGAAAACACTTGATAACCAAGGTGGGGGAGTGGTGAGAGCCTCAAGCTGAATTCCAGCCTTTGCCTCCATGTTCTTCCTAAACACAATTAAGTGCTTCACTTTCCTGCTTACCTGGCTATTACCTTCCCTGCTATGTAGAGAACTAAGCATTGTGACAGCAAGAAATAGCTTTCTGTGGTTTTTAGTTATCCACTAGGTCTCTCTTGCCATATACCAGTTATTCCTCTGGAAAGGATTTTGTAAGTTAGCAGCTGGAACTAAAATTTTAGGAGGTCTGGTATGAAGTTAGACTCCTTGTGCTATATTCCCTCTCAGCCTTCTAAGAATGCTGTCAGAGGCTGTATTGAAAATATTTTTCTGCTTGTAACTTTCTCCTCATTGTTTGTAATGCTCAGCTGGAAGATGGAAATAGAGCACCCTTGTCTATTGATACACACTCCAGTACGACTTCAGTGAGGCTTAAAATGAGCATCATCTCCCTGCTGATCACCTGCCTTTATTGCCAACATTTTTGAGAGGAAACTATATTTTAAATTGTTACAAAAGCACAATAAAAAGTGGAAGAATTATATTTAGTGATCCTGAATGCCACATGATTTGGAGACATTTGTAGTAACAACACCCTCTTTGGCTCAGCAATGGCACTTTGTGCTTTGTTGCCTCCTCAGTCCAAGGAAATAATTTTTTTAAAGACATCACCACAGCAACATAGAAGACTTAGGAGGGAGATAAGTGGAGAATGATTATTCCCATATCTGAGATGTGAACATCAGGCATGTTTATAGGCCTTTTATATATTTATATTTAATGACCAGTGAGGCCAGGAATATGAACCAGCTGGAGGCTGCTGGGACTCTTCCTCTGTGCTCAAGCCAAGTCAGGCAACACTCATTCCAGCTACTGCTTTGGAACTGCTTGGTTTCATGTTGGCTTTACTGGGCTTTTGCCAAGCCCTGGTAGACCCAAACCCAGTCTGGCTGCTACAGCTCTGGTGTCAGAAGCAAGCCCTACTTCAGGGTGAACTGCTGGCAAGCTGACAGGTAGGAAAAATGACATTTACAGTACTACAGTCAGCAGTGAGGAAAAACTGTCAGCCAAACCTGTCTTGTAAGGTGAGCAGGTTTGGAAGAAGTAGCAAGAAACATCTGGAGAAAAATCATGTACCTGAGACAGCATTTCTATGGGGCTGAAGGAAGAACTGCCCTACAGCCACTTGGCTGAGATTTAAGTAGCTGCTGCAGTGTGAAAAAGCTGCTTGAAGAGGTGCCCAGCTGCACTTGGTCAGCAGTCAGTGCAGAGGGAACCCTCTGGGGAAAGGAGGGAAGCAGTGAGGCTTCCTCCCTGTAGGAAGTGATGAGATGTGCCAGCTGCAGCCAAGAATGAACCTTGTCATTTGTGAGGGAAAGGATGTGCTTAAGTCGCACTTCAATCCAAAAGGGTGGCAAATTACAACAAATGCAGGTTTATGATTCTCTGTGTTATACCATCTTCTCAAGGTAAAGTGCAGAGACTGCTCCAACAATTAACAACAACTTCATGTGTTTGCAGCTGAAACACAAGCACTGCCTTACCTAGGTGTGAAGAGCCACTTGTGAGACCTGCAGGGTGCTCTGTCTTCATCCTGCCACGAAGCCAAGAGGAGAAGCTGGATTTTTCCTTCACATGAGCTGCAACATGCCTTGTGCTGTAGGCACAGATGAGAGAGAAATGGCTCTGTGATCTCTGTGTGTGGCACAGGGTCCCTTCTAGCATTCTTTGGGGCATTTCAGCAGTGTCTGAAAGGGCCAGCAGGACTATCCATCTCCATCCTAGCATCTACTGCCTCACCTCTGCCTGGCTGGGAAGTTTTCTAGCTCCAGAAGCTAGAGCAAAGAGCTAAAGTTAAAAAGTCAGTGGGAATTAGAAAATAAAAAAATACAATTTTAATGGTCATCTCAGTAAACAGAGCACTGTGCACAGTGTGTAGTTGGTCTGTTAAATCAAAGAGCTCCAAATCAGAGAAAGGGCATCTCAGGTGATTAGTGTTACCTGTTGCTTCTGAGATCAAGACGAGCACACAGAATTGTGGTCATGGAGCACAAAGATCTGAAAGTGGATGATAGGAGAGAAAGACTGATACAGAATTTAGGTCTAAAAATGTGAAGTGAGCTTCATTTTCAAGTATGAGATCAACATCCCAGTCCAGATGCTCTCCCTTAATATGTGCTTATTTCAGAAACCCTGGTATCTGTCATTACGGTTTTTGCCACCTCCTGCCTTTTCTCACCATTGTATCCACGTGTGCACACAAGGTTCTGGGTTGGGCAGTGACCAATTATTTTACATTTCTTTATTTTTTTTCTCCTCAGAGGTGGTGAAATGTCTCCCAAATGCCAAACCAGCTCCCAAGGCTCAGCTAGTATGCAGTAAGACAGGAGGCATAGAGAGCTGCTTCCTGTCATGCCCATCCAATACTCTTTTTGTTCCAGGTTTGTGCAAATTATTTGTCCTCTTAGGTACCAGATGTGAATCGCTGACTTTTCTCTGTTAATGTATTCATGATTCTTACATTCATTTTTTTGTTATGGATAACAGTACATGAGCAAAACCTCATTATAAATTAAACCAAGAAGAGCTGATTGTCAACTCCACGTGAGAAGTTTAGTCCTTCATTGGTTAATTTGAGATGTCAGTTTAGAGGGTGGGAAAATTCTAACAAAAAGCTGGTATGAAAAAGAAGAGGAATTCACTGAAATCAACTGTTCATTTTTGCCTTCCCTTGTCACAGCAATGCAATATACAACAATTTTTTCTGCACCACCCTGGTTAAGGTGGATGTGTCTCTTAGTCCATCTGAGTATTATTTATAAAAAAATTGGGCGCTTTTTTTTTTTTTTTTTTACCATTTGCTACTGGTAGTTTCCATCTTCACAGTTTTGCAGGGAAGAAGGAGGGGATTGATACTGCTTTTTCATAGATGTTCTGGCGCAGGATTATTTTTGGGTGTCTACTTTTCACGTTTAGCCTTGGCATTGTATGCAGTCGAGCTAACATTTTATTCATATTTTATTTTCAGTTTAGCAGATATTACTGGAACTGTGCATTTCTCTAATTGTAAGCACCAAGACAGAGTTTTATCTCTGTAATATGTAAACACTCTTAAGCTTCTAAGTACGCCATTTCTGTTTCTGCCAATAAGTTCTGCTGGAGCCTGAAGCTAAAATTATTATGGAAATACATGGTTTATTTTCTAAATTACAGGGAAGCAGAAAGACTTTGCCATGGACAAATACAAAGTATTTTTTACTTGTGCACAGCTAACCTTGTGCCAAATCACTTACAAAACATATCATTCCAGCGCTGGAAGAAACAAACCTTGCCGTCAACACTGCAAAGTGTTGAAGCTTTTTGGCAAAGTATTTCAGCCACTTAAAATCCCAAGTTCTGCACTTAAAATATCTCATTGTTTAGCAGCATTGAGAAGCTGAAGCCTCGAGTTTGGTGAGGCTGTTGCCCGTGTGCTGACTGTGTTCTGTCCCCCAGACTCGGAGAACAGCTACACGCTGAGCTGCGGCGTCCCCGTGCAGCACGGCAAGGCGCAGCCCAGGCGCAACTCCACCATGCCCAGCTGCTCAGGTGGGTCTGCCCTGCTTGCTCCCCACTCCTGGGCTCAGGAGGGAGGGCATGGATCTCAGGGGATTGCAGGACATCAGGCTCATTCATTGGGTTAGGCAAGGGGTGAGGTGTTGCTTCATAACAAAAGCAAAAGCCTTGAGACTGAGTCGAAGCAGTGTAAGAGAAAAAAAGCAATTCTTGCAATAAAGTGGGAAGATAAAAAAGCAATTCTTCAATGAAAGCTTTCAGGTGTGCAAAATACGGCTCTGTGCATGTGTGGTACAGGATTTCTGTAATTCTGTAGGGTAATTAATTAGTATATCTGGCCGGGACATCCAATAGCAAATCAGCTACCCCAGTAACCCACCCGTGGGTCAGCCCCCTTATGGCTTCTTTGCTGTCTTCTCTTGTTAGGTCTCTTAAGTTCTGATAGAAAATAAGATGTCCTTGACAGGAATTCTCTTCTTAAGAATAAGGCTAAACAGCATTCCAAGTATGCATTAGTAGGGTTAGCTTATTCTAAACTCTAAGAGAAAAGGTAGGAAAAATACCAGGAGCTATATAACCATGTATTAACAAAGCTACAGATATATTAAAAATGTATAAAAAGTAAAAATCTTGAGGCATCAAAGGTAGCCAGTGTTCCCTTATGCACACCCTCCTTTTCTGCAGCCTCTCCTCGAGGATGGGCTGTGGAGCTGCGGTGATGTGTGGGTGGCTCTGTGTGGGAGTGCTGCAGGTTTGAGAATATTCAGTAAGGACTAATATTTAGAATTATTTGCTTTCCATGGTCTAGCAATACAATACTGAGCATATCAAAGTGGGACTTTCTCCCAGGCTCAGGAGGGACCCAGGAGTAGCACAAGGGTGGGTCCCAGCCCTTCTCTGCAAAGCCCTTCCACGGCAGCACAGCCTCTCCTACTGCAAGGGTGAAAGGTTATCCCCCCCATAAAAAGGTTATGAGACTTCCACGAGAAAATACTTCATTTCATCCATCTTTTTCTCAAAAATGGCTGGACTGTTTTTGCAGAGGCATTTCAAATGTTTATGAAAGCTGATAGGGAAAAAAAAAAAAAAAAACACACAAAAACTTGAAGCCTGGCAATATTAGAAACAGCTGAAACAACATCCAGCAGTAGGAAGAGTCAGCCCACCTTACACATACCTGCTGTACTTCTCTCCCATTTTCCAGTTCTCCAGCCATGAATTTCTTAAATATTTGGGATGTGCTAGGAGGTCCAGTGCTGTGAAATGACATAGCCTGGCAGCAGCTGTGCCTGCTTGTGGCGCAGGATCAGTCCTGGTTCAGCAAAGCCCTACCAAGGAAAGAGGGAACCAAGCTGTGGTGTCACCTGGGACCACCCTCCACCTTCTGCAGGGCCAGAGCAGGTGACAGCCAGGCCAGTCTTTTCCTCCAGGGACTTTGTGACGAAATCAGCCAGCTGCTCCATTTTCTACTCATGGAATGACTCTAAAACAAGACCTTGAATCCTGCCTTGGGTTTAAAGCTGAGGGATAAAGCTTGCAAGCCACAGAGTGCGATAGAGGCAGCTCCTTTGGATGGTTTTCAATTGCCAACAGCACAGCTCCACTAAATTAACCTTACTAGCACTAGCAGGAGCAGAATTACAAGTAACGTAGGAATTCGCAGACAGAGAGCCCAGAAAAAAAAATAAAGGTAGGAATTAATCTATCTTATAATAAAAGATGAATTCACCCAAAATCCAAGAAGATGTGCAGAGCAAGCGTGGTACTAGCACGTTCATTGGCCTGGTTGGGCCCAAAGGTAGGTACTCACTTGAAAAAAATGAACTTGTGGAAATGGACCCCCTTGTACAAGCCATGTAATTCTTGGGCTGCCTCTTTCCTAAGTCACAAGAAAGCTTATGAGAATGTTTTTAAAAATAAGTTTCCAATCTTGTTTCATTTCTGTCTCAATGGTAGCTTTTTTTTTACTTTACATCAACAGATTCCCTAGCCCCTCCAGTTAAGCAAAAAGCTCGTTTTAAAATCAAAGATGCAAAATGCCATTTACGGCCTCGCAGCAAAGAAAAAACAAAAGATTCTGGGAAGCAGGCTGTTTCAGGTAGGTGGTTTCTTCCAGCATGTAAACAGCATTTTAATTTTTTTGTTTTCTGGTTCATTTGCATCCTTTGTTTTCACACTGCAGACAGGAAAAAAAAATCACTGGTTTTCATATTTGGTCTGAATTTAAGTTAAGGCCAGAGTTCCCAGTGTGGCTGAACAGTGCCTTGGGTTTGGATCTTGGGTGCTGAAAATTTCAGCAGTTGGCTTTTGTTGGGAATTAAGCTGATCCTTTTTCTGGCCTTGATAATGGCAGAAATACCCTGAGACAAAAAGCTGTGACTAATGCAAAGTTATGTGAAACCATGACAGTTTTGCTTGGTTTGGTTTGGTTTTCCCAAATGAGGTTTTTTAAAAGATAACAAAAGCTAATATTTGTTTGGTTTATGCTGGATTAGTAACCTATTGTAGCACCAAAGACAACCTCTGAGAGGGAAGGTTATTATGCAAATCTGATGTTACACAGCCTTAGATCTTTTGATATTAAAGAGTGAGTAGTTATGATGTTAGAAAAAATATTTATAAGATTTAGGTGTCATTAACAAAAATGTGGTATTAAAAATTAAATTGCTACTTAAAGCAATTTAACAGCTTATACCAAACATCTACTGGTGATGTTGATTTTGTCACCACTTTCACTAGCAAGTGAGAAATCTTACATGGGCCCTGAACAGAGAAGAGTAAAAATAGCTACTTTTTTTTTTAAAAGTGAATAGTTTAAAGATTTTATTTTTTAAATTTAGACTCATATTTCATCTTTACCCCACAATCTACACATTTGTATCTCTCATTTAGAAGTATTAAGTCTTAGTCATCAAGATGCTTATCCTGGGGATTAGATGTGATTATCAGACTAGTTTTTAAAGTCATAGAAGCCGAATTTTTTGATCCATACAATAACTAGGGGAATGTGTTTCTTGGATGCATTTCCTTCTCCTTTGTTTGCTTTACTTTGTGTTTGTTATGTCATCTGAGCCTCTGAGCCTAACAGTAAGATTATATAGTATAACCACACATTCGGAACTAAATCTTTCTGGTGGCTTGAGTGCTACAAATTTCTCTCTCTTCCTTGACCTGGAAGGACCATCACCTGTGGCAAACTACAATTCCTGCTCAGATAAAACCTTCCAATACATGTTCATAACCTCACAGTCAAAGTCTTTTCAAGCGTTTGCTATCTGATGATTGTCAATTCTGAAAGAGATGGAATACCCACTGAAAGTTTTTAGAGGCCCAGGCCTGATATTCTCATTGATTTATGAAATTGACTCTCTTGCTTTGTTCAGCCATCAGATATAATTTATAATATTCGCTGATTTTAAATAATTTCTGTAAAGAGCTTTCTAATCCTTGTGCAGGAAAGGACTGGGCAGTCACTGCATTCGTGATAACCCAGTGTGATATCACTTGCTAGCCTGTCACTTGCTGCTTTGCTACTTTATCTCTTCCCTGTGCTGCTTCTCTCACACAAAGGAGGTCAGTTCCCCTGCACAGACAACTGCCAGGTGACCTTTGTGAATCTCAAGTGCGATTCCTCCAAGAAAAAACGCCGAGGCCGCAAGTCACCATCCAAAGAAGTGTCCCATATCACTGCAGAGTTTGAAGTGGAGATGAAGTCTGAAGAAGTCTCAGGTTTGTGAAAGATTGGTCTGTGGAGAGAAATCAGAATTTAGTTTCTCGGTGTGTTGTTAAAATCTCTTTGATGCTATTTCATTAACATTCACCTTTTAGCACAACACCTCATTCAACAGCCTCTCCAAACTCAAAAGTTTCAGAGCTTTAATTAAAAAGAGCCAGGGATGAAATTAAGCCAAAGGAACAAAAACTGAGCCTGTATCAAAATTCCTTCAAGGCCTTGAGTTAAGTCATGTGCTTTAAGTCTCATTTCTTTAAACAGCAAAAGTGCTAATCGATGTACAGGGAATATAAAGATTAGATAGAAGTTCTGTAAAAACAATGATAAAAACATCCTCCAAACTGTAAGTTGCTGAATATGTAGTCTGCAAATCAGACAGTTTTATCACAGTTGAAAAATTCATGTTTTCTTACCAAACTTCGGAATAAAACTAATTGCCTCAAGTTATAAATGAGATGGAATATGATGTTCTAAATTCCAGCCAAAGAAAATGTGGACTGAATCCTATAAAGATGTCAGTCCTCAAAGGCAGATTTCTTAACCTTGAGGGGCACCTCATTAGTGTTTGTACCTCAATTGGTTCAAACAGCAGTTGTGTCTGAAATCACCTTTATTTTTGTCATTGACACAAAGGTGTTTTTGTTGGGGAAGTGGCAGGAGTTCCTAATCCACTGAGAAAAGCGTGGGCAGAGAAAATTCAGGGACATTAATGGTGGCAGACTGAACACACACCTGAAAGGAGAACACATTGGGGTTGATGCCTTCTGCAGCAATCAGTGTGCACTTGCAGGCCATGGAACTGTTCCATGGAACTCAGGATAATGTCCTGTCCCTTTGGAAGGCCTGATCTTGAACACAGTGAGCTGTTGCTTCAATTTGCATGGACAAGACAGTAAAACACAATGCACAGTGTCACAGTGCAATGCAGGCTAAGCTTTTTGTTAAGCACCTCTTTTAAACATGAATCTCAATTGCTTCTAGTTTTGTTATCATTTCCCATCTAGACACCTGTAACATTGACTGTGTTCGGAAAAGGATGGAGCAGAAGCTGCAAACTGCAATCAAAACATTGAGGAAATCTATTAATAAACAGCAATTTTACATTCAGTTTTCTGGGACAGAATATGAAGTGGCTCAGAAGCCAGCTAAAGCTACTGAAGGGCATGAAGCGTGCAGTACAGGGCAAGTACTGCAGGATGGAAAATGTGGTAAGTCCAAAGAGCTCAAATATTCAGTCATATCCCCCAAATCAAGCAGTCTGAAGTTACTTTTTCCATGGTTAACCAGGGAGGAAATCTCTGAGATAACGACTTAGAATTTAATGATCAGTATTACTCAGCACATATGCATGGACTATGAAGGCAACGCATATGCATAAGACTCTGAAGGGAATTCATGAGGTGGTTGTAGGAAAACAGAAGTATAAATATGGATACATTCCCATGCTGTCAGGTGGTAGGTATCACAACCTGCCACAAGACAATGTTGGCAGTTAGTTCCTAGATGCTCCCATTCCCATCTTATCAAAATATATTCACAATTCAGTAAAACAATAATATGATGTTTGCCTAGCTGCTATGTATTTACTTTTATATCACCAGCAGTGTCCCCCTCCTCACCGTCAAATAATCCGTGATCCATGGGTATGTTATATTTAATGCTTAAGAGGTCCAGTTTAGAAAAAAAGTATATGAATCTATTTTTTGTAAAATACCTAATTTCTTTAAGCCCTTTTCCATGTTACCAGGCTCTGGTGCTTTGCTGGGGACAGTGTGTTAATGCAAATTTATTAATGGCAGTTCTCAGCACTGCAATCTTTCTAATCACTTACAAACATCTTTTCAAAATCAGCATACTTATTTTTCCAGCAATTGAGATACCAAGCCATTTACAAGCCAAAATAAGTCACATCTGATAGGTGCTTCCAGTGAGTGGGTTCAGAGGTAGTTGTTATCATATGGGAAGAGTGGTTTAGAAACTCCATTTGAAAGGCTGTTGCTATCAGTATCTGGAAACTCAGACATTTCCACCATCCTTACCCAGCAGACAAAAATGTGAAATGCATTTACGTGCCCTGTTGAAGCAAGAAAAGCACATGTATTCATATCTGTACTTAAGATGCTGTACAGTTGTGGTATTTGAGTGGCAAGAGACAGAAATTATTACAGAAATTATTGCAGGGGACACATTGCCCATGGAGAAATCTCTAGAACTGATCTCAGGGGACAGACTTTTTGTAGTCATCTGCCTAAAACCAAATTTTAACTGGTATAAACTAAAAGCTCACACTTCCCACACTTTATGCAGCACTGCTTTAACAAACTGCAAGATATTGTTTCAGGTATAAACAGCTTTATTAACAACACACGTGTGATAAACACCCGAATGCACTACAAAGCCATTCAATGGTTGTCCTGGTTTGAAAAGCAAAACCTGTGAGAGGCTCTAAGTCTGAAATACAATTTATTAGGAAAAAGGGAGCAAAGAACCAAATATATACAATAGCACAAAAGAAGAACCACTGACAGAGTCAGAGATACAACCTGACGCTTGCTGGCTGGGGCAGTGGTAGCAGATATGGTTCTGTCCAAGCAGGGGTCCTGTGGACTGATGTAGTTTCCCTCTGGAGGTCCAGTGCAGAGAAGGTCTCAGCTGTTCCTCTTGGAAGAGGGGATCTCCTTGCTGTCTGCACAACCCCGCTGATATCCTTGATGGCATCGTTTGGCTCCTCCCTCTGGGTGGAACATCTCACAATGGAATGCTGTGATCTTATCAGTCATGTGGCTAAAAGAACAGGTTCTCCTGGAGGGACTTATCTCTGAGCCACGAGATAAGGAAAAAAAGGGATTGCAGCTCGAGGTGGTAATGGAATATACCCCAATATTATAACCTAGGACAATGGTTTAAACAATAGAAGCAGGACCTCACCCTGATATAAATTGACCTAAACCCCAGTGGAGATGGGTCTGTTTACATCAGGCGAGGATCCTGGACTAACACATGCAAAACACATGCCATCTTAACCCTGGGCCAAAGGCATCCACCTTCTCTAAATGTTCCATATTAGGGCAAATAATGTGATCCAAGCGAGCGTCCTTACCGAGGCTCCCCTTTTGTTTCCTCAGTTACCTGCAGCACGGGCACCTTTTATAGCGGAGAACACAACCAGTGCGTCCCGTGCTCGCCAGGAACCTACCAGGACACAGAAGGCCAGCTCACCTGTGAGCCTTGCCCCAGCAACGATGGCCAGGGAGTCGCGGGCGCCCGGAACGTCTCGGAATGTGGAGGCAAGTTGAGCTCGATTCTAAAAGCTTTAGGTGCTGCCACATGCACCCTGTGAGGCAAGAAGGCCAAAAGGAGAGAGCCTGCCACAGTTCTGGCTTGTAAAGGTAACAGAAGAAATCTCTGTGCACTTACAAGCAACGGGTGGTTTGGCTCGGGCCAAAGACAATGGGTTCTGCTACAGCAATGTGATTTATGGGATGGAAACGAGCAAGCCAAGCAAAGCACTTCGTGCTTCACCTCAGGTATGGAAAGTACCTTGACTTGTATGGACTCATCAGTGTATTGTGAGCCAAAGGGATGGATTATTTTGGACTGGTATTGGTGAGTCTAATAATGAACCTACTCATTTAATGTTTTGCATGAGATGCAGCTTACCTGCTCTAATTAGCAGCAGTTATGAATTTGAGATAGTTATGCTGCAGGGATCTGTAACGCAGACTCAGAACTAATGATTGCAATTTTCAGCACTGCTTGAATGCACTGTAACTTTTGGCAAGTGATGTAGCGTCTCTGATTCAACTTCATGATTTATAAACTAAATTATAATGTGATAATACCTGGTGCTTCTACTGTAACTTGATCAGTCTTAAGTTCTTAGGATACAACTGTTTATTTTCTTTACCTCATTTCATTACAGACTATCAAAATCTGGTTTATAGCAGATACATTATCTGACTTTGAAATAAATCTGTCCTATCTGCTACACAAGTTCTGACTTGAAAACTCAGCCATGTAATTTACATTAATGCATTCTTCAAGGATATCTAAAGAGAACACATGGCAAATGTCACTTGAGAAACTGCTACTTTTTCCCATCTACTGAATAAAATACAACTGCAGTGTCAGTTATTTAGTCCAAATATATGATAGATTTTGCTGATTTGCTGTATGAAGGAACTAGCAGGCAAAATTTGAAACACCTGTGCATCTTTGCTGTGCTAATTTGTATTTATCCATAACATAAGAAAAGCATATCAAAATACAGTTTGAGTTTATAAAGATGGACTATAGCATACTGACAAAAGCAGCAAAACAACTAGAAGAAAAAGACATTTGTTTCAAGGCTTACATTGGAATTATTGTTCTGTACAAAAAAAAAAAATCCCTTCTGATTATTTTTTCAGGGTGGATTTATCTCACAATTTTTATTGTCAAATCAAAACATTCTGGTTTTCTGCTCAGCTCTCTCCTTTTCCTATGGAAGTGGCAAGAGAGAATATGCTTTGGACTTCATAAATTTACCTGTCAAAGAGTTTATCAAAATTTGTGTCAGCACTTGTGACTATGTTAGAATGTCTCTACTGTCTGTACTCCCTGCCAGGAATCAACAGTATTTTTGCATCCTATCTTCCAGAGTGGAAATGCCTGTGCAGTAACAATAAATTTTCACTTAAATCCTCACTTCTAAATGTGAGGAATGTGCAATTCCACAAATATGTCAGAGATTTTAAGTGCCTGTTGTGCAGAAATCACTTGTAGCTGCAAGTGAATTCCATGCTGCAGTGGGTTACCCCTGCGTGGACACCAGGCACCCACCAAAGGTGATCTCTCACTGCCTTCCTCAGCTGGAGTGGGGAGAGACAGGATAACAAAGGTTCACACTTGAGGGCAGGGAGGGACCACTCACCAAATATCAAACAGACTTAAATTGGGAAAATTCAGTGAATTCACTACTAATCGAAATCAAAGCAGGACAAGGAGAAATAAAATATCCGCTAAAAACACCTCTGCCACACCTCTCCCTCCTTCCCAGCTCTGCCTCCTCCCACCCAGCAGTGCAGGGAGATGGGAATGATAGTAAAAGGGTTTAAAATCATGGGGATTTAGGGTTAAAAGGAAAATTAAGCTTAGTAGGCCCTGAAAAGAAAATAAATACCCTAAGTACAGGAAGACTTTGTATCTTACTAGAGCTGCACCTGTGTAGCTAGTACATGATAAATGATATAATTGTTAGATGTGATGGTTGTTTAGTAATTAAATATAATTACTGTTTAATCGTAAGAATAATCATGAGAAACTGTGGTCAGGGGCTTAGGAAAGATCACAAGAAACTCATGTCAATGTATACAATAGAACAATATAAGTTTAATAATCAATATGTAAGTTATATAATGATAGAATATAAAATACGTTCAGATCGAAAGCCATGTCGGAGTCAGATTTGGGTCTGTACCCCTGATTCCCAGAGTTCTCAATAAAACACCTGCAGATAATCATATCCCCTGATTATGTGTGTTCCTGAACGCTAACAGGAATGGGGGTTATGGTCAGTTCATCACACTGATGTTGTTCCTGCTGCTGCTCCAGCATGGGACCCCTCCCACAGGAGGCTTCATTAACTTCTGCAGTGTGACTCCATCTCATAGGCAAGAGTTCTCCAATATGAGTCACTTTTCCACAGGGTCAGTCCTTCAGGCACAGCCTGCTGCAGCATGGGTCCCCCACAAGGGTCACAAATACTACCAGGAAATATGTTCCAGTCTGGGTTCCAGTAGCCAATTGCACCAGGCCAATTTTGGTCCTAATGACAAGAGCAAAATTGTCCTCAAATTAGTAGCATCATAATATTTCTCTGAGGTCTGTGTCACAACAGCCAGTTTGTACCATCATATTCCAGCCAGCTGGGATGGGAGCACAAGTAAATCCTGGAGATCCTGACCCCACAGGTGTCCATAGGAGTTTGGCTTTTGTGGGGACAGAACTTGAACTTGGCTTTCACTCAGGAGCTCTAGTTCATCCTAAGTGCCGAAGTTCCTCGCTCGTGCCAAGCACCCAAGATACTGAATGCCCCAAACATTTCCCAGCAAGTATCAGGGTTCTTATGAGACTGCAACAATACCTAGAGCTCTCAAAATTTTCTTGTTTTCAAGTCAGTTGTTTCTGTCTGCTGCTCAATTCTCAGGGAAGCTAAATTACAAAGTACTGGGATTAGGCAACCTTGGGGAGTATGTCACATCTCACAGTGCTGGTGTCCCAGTCTGGAGTGGTGTGAAGATACACATTCATGCCACAGTCTTGAAAAACCTGACATCCTGGTTCTCAGGTTCACAGAGGAAAGTACTCAAGCTAGCAGGAGCCAAGCCAAGCAAATGCCTATCAGAAACTGCCTGGAGAGCGAGTTTGGAAACTTCTGTCATAGATTGATTCACAAAGCAACTTGCTTTTCGCAAATCTCTGTTTCATGGCAGAGGAGCACCTGACAAACACTAGTTTCACACTACATGAAAAGCTGCTGGTGTTAGGTATTCTCATAGACAAGGTGCTGGACTGGTACCATCCTATCTGGTAAACCCCATGATCCACTGTCCACATCTCTAAAACTGAGATACAAAACCTTGCTTCATAGGCATGGTTCAGTTCCATTTCTTCCTATAAAGTACTTTGAAACATTGAGATGAAAGACTTGGTGAAAGTACAAAGTATTCTAATGGAATATTTAAAAAAAAAAAATCTAAACAGAATCATAGTTGCCAAAAAGCATATTATGAAACTGGTTCTTATTACTGGTGGTGGTTTTAGGAAGAAGATACAGGAACAATCCAAAATATGCAGGTAAGATTAGAATTTGATCTGCAGCTGTCTTGATGTCATATGATTTAGTGAAAGAAAGCCTTGCTAACTGCTTGTGGGTTTTATACTTCATCCAGAAACATCAACACACTAATACAGATGATCGTTTTCAATTTCTAGGGCAGTGTTCTCCTGGGCACTACTCTTCAGATGGTTTTAAACCTTGTACAGTCTGTCCTCTTGGTATGTATCAGCCTGAACCAGGAAGAACCCTCTGCTTTCCCTGTGGCGGTGGGCTCGTGACCAAATACGAAGGTGCTGTTTCCTTTCAAGACTGTGAAACCAAAGGTGAATTCAAAATCTTTCCACAATTCATCCTCCTACTTCTGGGCCTTTGATTTATTAGCATCAGTGCCAAGGGGCTCTTGGAGGCTCCAGAACAAATGTTGTCGCTGCATGGGCGTGTGATTAAATGAAATGGCCAAGAAATCTGTAAACTGGGAATGGTCTCCCGAGGTTGTGCAGACTGAACAGGATTTATGGTTTTCTTTGGAATTTACCACAGTCAGCACTGCTACTGGTAAGGGAACCAGGCGCACTGTGTGGCAATAAATAACACAAACTTGGATTAGACAATGCTTTAGCTTTCATGTCCTGTATATTTTTATTTACTGCATCACAAAAACTAAACACTGCAAAAGTTATACGCAGTTAAGGATTGATTACTTATGGGCTAGGCAGAAATTGTAAGGGTGCAACTCATTCTGTATTCCATAATGTCAACTTTCAGTGCCAATGCTGAAGAAGGAATCTTCCTAAATGCATTTTGGTTTAGTTACTGAAATGACATGCTGGCCCTGGCAAACACACTAATGGAAACCTCTCTCCTGCTACTGTGAAAGTAATTTTTCTTGTTGAGGTGGATTTACATCCGCTTCCATTTATTACAAATATATTAAATACAGTGAGAGATAACGTATCATGCATTTCTAGTTCATAAGGGGTTTAGTTGGAAGATTCTTTATACTGGGAAATAAAGGGAGCTGGTGTCTTTTCTGCCTTTTATAGCCTAATAAGAATGTTGCAGACCAGGTATGTCCTGGGCAGAGGAAAGCTCTCTGCACTGGAGGTTGCTATTTTTTGAAAATAATACACCTCATACCTTGCAGTTCACTGTTCTCCTGGACACTATTACAACTCCACAACACACAGATGTATCCGGTGCCCTGTGGGAACATACCAGCCTGAGTTTGGTCAAAACTACTGCATCACCTGCCCTGGCAACACCAGTACAGATTTTGATGGCTCCACCAATGTCACGCACTGCAAAAGTAAGTCACAGTTTTATCAGTGACACATTTTTATCAGTGACACATTTTTATCAGTCAGATTTTTATCAATGTCTTTGGATCTGAACTGCAGCTCGAAGGTTGCATCTGTCAGGCTGGACTTCAGATTTGTATCTCCTAGTTAGCAAATACCTACTGCCAGAGGGAATAGTAAAAGTTGGGTAAACAATGAGGAAAAAAAGTTGGGAAAGTACCACTTGAGGCATATGAGTGTTTTAGGTTTAATCTGATTTCACAGAGTACCAGCTACAAGTTAAAACTACAGAGCCTTTACTTTCCCAGGTTCTGTAAGTTGTGTAACAGTGATGCATATTCCTCTGTGTCTCTGTAGAGCAAAATATCTTCTATCAAAATAACTGCCATTTTAGAATAATTGTAAAATATCAGAAGATATGGTCATGCATGCTGCAATTGCCAGGTAATCACTTATGATAGTGAGATCTTCTTGAAGGCTTTTTTACAGTACTCAGACTCCTATCTTAATTACCATTTTAAATATCCCCAAGGATTTCAGTGCAGTTTTATATGATCTTTTGTGAATGACTGATTGTTTTTAGGCAAGCATATTTTTTTTCATCTCTACCATGCTAATTGAAGAGAATGTTTGTATAATAATTGAGCAATGTCATCTAACTATTCATGTGCAGCTCTCCTGTAAGTTTTTAGTCTAATTATGTTCCATGTTTCTAATTATGTACCGTGTTTCTTATAAACCCTTCATATCTTCTAAAGTCAATTGAGTAAATTATATATTTGTGTTGAATTTGAAGAAGTTTACTGATTTCCTGTAAAATAAAGCCACAAGAAGGAATTTAGACTTGCTTGTGACAGATCTCGAAAAACACCTCCAATTAATTTATCAACTAACACAAATACTAATTTATATTTCTCCCCAGACCAGCATTGTGGAGGAGAACTGGGGGACTACACTGGCTACATTGAATCACCCAACTATCCTGGAGACTACCCAGCTAATGTGGAATGCATTTGGAATATAAATCCACCCCCAAAGAGAAGAATACTCATCGTAGTACCTGAGATATTTCTCCCAATTGAGGATGAATGTGGTGATGTTTTAGTAATGAGAAAAAGTGGTAAGTTGCCAAAAATGGGTTATATTTTCCTGCAAACTGAGGGAGTAAAATGTTCATATTGAAGGGATGACTGTCTTCAGTGCAGGCAGTGTTTCTAGAAGGCTTCTTGAATGAAGTGGCACAGGAAGTTAGAACATTACCAATAACAGTTAGCAGAGTGATATTAATTATTCAAGTTTATTGTCTGAATCACAAAGCAGTTAATGAGCTTCTGTCTGGCCCAGTTACCACATGGGATAAATCACTGCCATCCTAGAAGTCAACAATGATAAATTACATTTGGAGAACTATCTCTGTAATCTGTACAAACTGTGTTCTTACTTATCTTTTGTAAATATATGTACATGCTGCAGTTATTGCAGCAGAAGGAAGACACCTGGTCACTATAGATGGAAGGAAATTTTACCTGTGCAGATGAGCTTTTTTTGAAAACAAAGCACTTACTATAACAAAACACATCAGTTCCTTCTGACCCCAAACTGTGGTTCCAACAGTGACCAAAGCCAGGCACATCAGGGTAAAGTTACACTTCAGGCATGATTCACCCTTAGTAAAGCTGTGCTGGCTGTCACCACCAACCTCCTGACATCCAGCATAACTGTTCTGTGGGTCACTGACTCTGCAGGGTGTGACAGTCTTTTATTCAGAATTACCATACCAGATATTACATTCTGGTTTTATTGTGCTTTTATTTATATGAGCTCCCCAAACTGGCCATGTGAGCTCACTTGTCCTTACCTGTCTGGGACAAGCATATGGGTACTCTGGGATACAATGCTAGAGTAGTAAAAGAAATTAATATTGATAATAGTTTTAAACATCAAAAATTATACCTCTATGGAAAAACCTTCTTATCTTTGTAGGCAAATAAGGACAACATCCATTCTGTCACAAAAAGCTTCTGCTGTCAGGAATATGTCAGCTGAGAAGTGTCTTATCAATTTAACATCTCTGACCTCTAGATGAGGAAGGGTGCAAAAAGTATTATATAAAGAACATTATTTAACTTTATTTCTAGCTTCTCCTACTTCAATTACTACGTATGAAACATGTCAGACCTATGAGAGACCTATTGCATTTACCTCAAGATCAAGGAAACTCTGGATTCAGTTCAAGTCCAATGAAGGAAACAGTGGCAAAGGATTTCAGGTCCCCTATGTGACTTATGATGGTGAGAATGGAATTGGTTTTCATCTTTGTGTTATATCTGAATTAGAGAAAAGTTGCCTTGAGAATATCTTTTCCACTGCTTGCAGAGACAGAAGAATGAGGAAAGACTTTATGCACCTCATTGAATTTTAGTTGCAAAGACTTTGAAATAACATGCATATAACAATATAATGTTAGAAAAGTTATTTTGTGTCCCTGTTTCTTCATCGCTAGAGTGGAGATAATACAGCATTATTATCTGGAGGGAGTAGGTTTTTGGGGATGTAATTATTTATAGGGATAATTCAAAACCACTGTTATAAAGAAATAGAGAATTTTAAGGTGATTAAATTAGAATATAGCAACCCGTAAGTGGATATAAAATTTCTCATCTCTGTCTTCAAGAGTAGGTCTAGCTCATGTCTGACTATTGCCCTCCCAAAAGATGTCACAGTCACTCACTTGACCTTTATTTTCAGAGGATTACCAACAACTAATAGAAGACATTGTTAGAGATGGCCGATTATATGCATCAGAAAACCATCAAGAAATTCTAAAGGTAAGAAATTTCTGCTTTCTTAGAGGCCAACCAAGAATTCCTTTTCCTAAGCATTTTCCTAAAATAGTTCTCAATACCTTGATAGAGTAGTTATATTTAAAGCTCAAGCGTGACCCCTAATTCAATTTTTTCTCTTATGAGGTTTATTTTGGTATTTGAAACAGTCCAAAATCAAGTAACTGGGCTGGGCTCAGAACATGCTTATGTCCTTTGTGGAAGCAGGAATGAAACGAAATATACGCTAAAATGATTTATAAGATTATATAACATATCTGTGTTGCCTTCCATAGGACAAGAAACTGATTAAAGCTCTCTTTGATGTACTGGCACACCCTCAAAACTATTTCAAGTACACAGCACAAGAGTCAAAAGAAATGTTTCCAAGATCATTTATAAAGCTGCTGCGATCGAAAGTTTCCAGGTTTCTACGACCGTACAAATAGTCGAGTGGTATTCAGTTTTTGGTTACTTTGCATTCCTGTCAAATATTGTCTTTCCTCCATAGTAGAAACATTTGCTAATTTGAAAGCTCTTTTTTGCAGACTTTGTTCACAATTGATAACGAAGAACACCTATAATGTTTTATAATTGTAAAAAGTCAATGTTCTGAATGGGATACTTACTACAAAAAAAGAAAAAAAAAAAAAAAAAAATTATGCATCCCCGAGTACATCTAGTTGCAGATCCACATTTGGGTCTGCACTAGTGTATCCTCACTTTCCATCTGAAATCTCACTATGTAAAAATATTCTTTCTAGCTTTTTATTTTTCATCAACAATAACTTTTGTCAAAGAAAGGAGGAATCTATTCAAATATGATTAAACTACCTGCAGATAAGTTCTGTTATAGAAAGAAGTATGTAGTATAAATAATACTTGGATTTTGAATTGCACTTGAAGTTTATATTTGAATCTTTAGAAGAAAACTAAACAATCTAAATTTTGTTACTTCTCATTTGTGGCTTAGTGGAACCTCTGTCCAAGTAGAAATCAAAAAGGAAAAAAAAAAAAAAAGAAGAAAAAATGCATAATTTTGTTTTATGGATTACATGAGATTGAGTCCCATGCCCTAATGTCCTAATGTTTTTATCTGTCCTCTTCTAAACTTCTTCAGAGGTTTGCCACTGTCAATTACTTAATTGAAACAGATTTAGCTCTGGATTTCCATGCATCAATCGGTTCCTTTAAAGACATTTACAATAGGATATGTGAGAAATTAACAACAACACTAGTAGTCTTGGTTTTCTTTCCATTGAGAGCATCTAATTAAGTACAATATATAAATATATAAATATATACTTCTATTTGTGGGTACATTAGTAATGTTATCTCTAGTTACTGTAAATATTATTCATGCTTAAATCTTTACTCCCACACACCCTATTTACTCATATCTATATGTAACTTTGTGTAGACAATTAAATGAGTTCTCCAAGTGCTTGTCACTTCTATTAACACCCAATTTTGAGGTTTTATAATACTGCGTAATGGTTTACTCTGGGACAATCTCTTTCAATATGTATTATTCCAGGAAAAATAGCATGAGTGGAGATGCAAGTGCTGCCCAGTAAAGGGTCAGCTGTTGCCTCTCCCTTGGGAGACCAACAGAGTGACCCTCAGGACAACACACGTGGGAGGAGCTGCTGCTGGACCCTCTAGTTGTGCTCTCTAAAACACTGAGAGCACAACTGTGTCCAAGCCTCAGATTGTCAGGGGCTCAGGGGCTCCCTTTTATCCCAGATTTGTAGCCACAGTGCCCATCAAGCACAGGGACTGCAGGAGAGCTTTGGCCTTATGCTCAGGCCCTGTTCACAGAGCGACAGTGGGTTTGCCATGATGATAAATCCTGGGTTTCCTGCTGTTTCCCGGCACAGGAGCTAAATCAAATGGGAGAGGAGCCTTTATTTTGTATTAGTATTTCAGCCTCTTTCCTTTTCAGTCCCTTCCTCTTGTGTATCATTTTCCCTTTTGATTCTACAAGTTTATTCAATGGAGAAATTAAATCTCCTGGCAGCATCCTTTCAGAAAAAGACTAAAACACAGTTTTGCTTTGCTGCTTCTTTTTTTGCCTGTCTACCCTGTAGTTTAACATGTGTTGGGATGTTCTCAAAGACATATATAAGAGGTGCTTGTGGTTATCTTCTGACACTTTCTTTTTGTCCTTGAGCAAGTACTGCTTAAATTTACACAGTTGGTTTCTGTTGACTGCAAGTGGTTGAATATTCCATTTCTATGAGAACACACTTAAGTATTCTGTTGAGTTTTTCTACTTAACCATCTTGTAATTTGCTTGCCTTCTTTCCTTTTCTGTTGAAGAATATAATTTTTTTTCTTTCTATGCCTGAGCAGCCTGACTTTATAGTCTAACATTTCTTTTTCCACACTCATGGACTTCAGATCTTTGTTGAGCTTTCTTTTTAATATATACATTAACCCTTGTTAAAAAATGTCACTTCTCCATAAAAGTCCTTTGTTAAAAGTTGTTAAACCTAAATTTTTCTTGAGGATTGTGGGAATCCAGGGCATCCCTCTGGCTGCCCTGGATTGCCTGGGACCCTGGCAAGGGGATCAGGAACCCCCCTGTACAGAGCCCTCAGAGACACTGTCTCTGATCTCTGTCCATGGAAAAGAGTTTTCAATCTTACAGGATGAATTACAAGCTCTGAGTGTTTGATATGAGTAATAATTAAGTGTGGCACGGGTGCAAAAGTAGAATTTTAGGATTCTAGATAAAGGTTCAAAGGAGGCAAGATGGAGGAAATTAAGCGTGCCTTGTCTTTTTTCTTCTTCTTCATGCCACGTTTCACTGTGGTGTTGGCATTTTTCTATTAATTTAAACTGGGACACACTGTTCAACATAAGTGATAGATATTGGCACGTTATTGTAAATACAGCACAGGTAGTTTCTGGTATTTAATGTTTGTAACATCCCACTGAGGGCAGAGCCCCACACGCTGCCCTGCAGGACAGACCTGCGGCAGGGCAGCAGAACATGTTAGAGATAAGCAAGAATAAACAACCTTAAAAACCAGCACAGATTAATTACAACTTCTTCTTTGGCAGTGGGGCTGAAAGACAGAGACTTTGTACAATCTTGAGATCATTTAAATACCACAAATTCCAACAGGGGATGTTAAAACTACTTTTATTTATGGTTCACCAAGGGTCACTAAAAAGAACACATTTTCATTAATTTTTTCTTTAACAGTAGTCATTTTTACCAAAAAAAAAAAGTTTTTAAAAAGCAAAACTCTTTTCAGGTACTCAATTATGCAGGAGTATATAGCTAAAAAAACTACTTTAGCCAAACAGTAGTTCAAAGTCTGATAGGTTATTCAGAGTATTATTCAGATCCATTAGAATGAGTCAGGATTGCAGCCATTCTACTAAAAGATATGAAAAATATGGCAAAAATAACTTCCTCACTTGGCAAATGATTTAGAGTGATCTTTAGTATTTCAATCTTGAGTAAGCAAACTTCAGAACCTGGTACTGTACACTGAGTTTTGTAAAATCCTTGCTAAAATTTTTGTTTAACAACCAACCTGTTTGGATGTAATACCATAGTATGACAGTGATCCCAAACTCCAGAAAGCACTGGCAGCACCATAAAATTTTCCAGGTTCTTAGCTCCATGGGAAATCCAGTGCCAGAGAGAAACCGTATAAGGGACATGTCCCAATTCTGGTCACTGGTAGTGGGACCTTGCAGAGCTGTGAGAGGTGAATACAAGCAAGAGAAATTGAATTTGGCTCTGGTACCACTTGCTCTGACTTAAAACCACACTACAAAAAAGCAGGGCTTTGTCCAGTTCGTCCTGACAGACAACCTGAGAATGAGGCTGACATTCCCCAGAGCCACATCAGGACAAGGCACTTGTGGACTTCTGAGGCAAACACAGGCTTTGTGCTCCTGAAGGAAGGTGCTGAAGGAAAGAGAATAATCTGACCCTCAAAAATTGACACAAATGCTTTTGAACATATCTGATATATTTAGAAAATGAGTCAGGCTTGAACGCTTGCCGCTCTGCATAGAAATGCTCTTCGAAGTGCAAATTTCTAATGAAATAAGTAATGACAAGTGGTACATAGGGCAGTCTGAACTGTTTTCAGTTGATTTGAAGAACAGCACAGAATTTTTATATCAGCTCTAGAAGTTAAAAAATGTTTTGACTTTCATACTATGTTTACAGTTACAGAAGCTGGCAGTCACCAAATAGGAGGTGAGTTCAGCTCTTCATCTGTTAGTGTGGGATGCCTTCATTGTCAGAGTCAGAGAACCTGTTGCTACTACACAATAACAGCACAACAACAAAGAATGTTTTCTTCTACACACATTTGGGAATCAAAAACCGGACAAGGAGAAATACAGCTGCCTTTAAGCAAACCAGCTTCTGAACGTGGCAGAATATAACATCTTAGCTGTTACCCTGAATGTGAAATACTCCATTTGAACATACCAATAAATACAGCCCTGTATCTGTTCTTAGAGAATTACACATTGTCTGCAGTACAGGTGCAGCAACACATTTATGTGGTAATACAGGTAGACTGAAGAAGTGCCCATTTGTGATTGCCCAATTCCGTGGCACAAACAGAGCTCTTAATTTTCAATTTGCAAATGCCTGTATGATTAAAAGCTGCACCTGCAGCACTTAGCATTTTAAGCCTCTCTTTCTGCTTTAAGTACTGCACTTATTTTTAGTGAGGTGGTGGTGAATCATCCCTAAACATTCTCACAGGCCACCCAAATCACTGCCTGCACACCTACTCTAGTCCAGGACACTGCAGCAATCACAAGTTGCTCATCAAGCCCTGAGTTGTGCCTTGAAAGCGCTGAGGACACAGAGGTGCCTCTCTGTCTGATTTGAGCACAGGGAGCAGCAGAATTCTGTGTTCAGTGCATTGCCACCTCTTCTGCCACACTGCATCTTGCCTTCAATAACAAGACTTACTCTGCCCACAGATTTAGCTTGCTGAAACTGGATTTAAAAATTCTGAAGTCTTTCTTTCATCCCATTTTCTTGCCCTGTTTTCCTTCTTCCATCATACATTAGATTTTTACCTAAAAAACAACTTTTCAAAAGAAGTTTATTTCCTTGTTTTGCTACCCCCATAGAATAAAGTTATGACTACTTAAGATTTAGATTAATCCTTTGTACACAGCAGCTTCATTCTAGAGTAAGCTTACTTAAAAGTAATTAAGCTTACTTAAAACTAGCTTACCTTATAAGCCAGGTTTAGTTTAGTTTAGTTTTAGACTAGCTTAAATAAATAAAGGATTGGTCATAGAATTTTCAGACCATCCACATTCTGAGTTGTCAGTGGGTTTTAAAGAGCACAGCTCGCCTGAAATCCTGTCTGTGAGCAGAAGGCAAGGATGCTGCCACATCAGTGAGAAACATCCTTTACATGTGTTCAGCATTCCAAAAGGACGGTCAAACCCCACCCTGTGCCTTTTTATAAGCCTGCCCAACGCTTTCAAATTTCTCAGATCAGTTTTACCTATAAAAAACCCAGTTTTAATCTTGCAGATAGCAGGCTAGGAGCTTCAGGAGCAAAAGTGGTGCTGTGGTTCTTATACAGGGCCTGCTGACAGGTGTTTGACAGCAAAACTCACCTGCTCTGTGACAGCTCCCATGTCTGGACTCTAAATACCTTTGAAGGCTCTTAAAAACTTAGCTGGAGTAAAATCTTCAACAACTGGACCCAGTGGCAAATTTCCCAGCCACCTCAGGGGTCTGGATGGGTTCTAAATGATGGGAATGAGTGGCACACAGAGTTCCTTGTATCCGTATCATGAGTTGAAGGAGTTGCATCTTTTCGTAGTTTAAAACCACTGATTGACAGGAATGGGAGTAACTGGAGGAGTTCCTGTAGAATCTCGGTACTTTGGGACTTCAATTGAGTAGTTTTCTAGAATGAGAGACTGTTGTAAGCACTTGGGAAAAGGAATACTTTTGTCTTCCAGAAGAATTTATGGAAGAAGGGAAATTTCTGTAAGGTACTATGAATTTACTCCTCAGTGAGAGACTTGGATTCAGAGCCAAGTCTTGTGTTTTATCTCTCATCTGAATAGAAGCAGAGTGGAAAATAAACCATGTCAAAAACCTGTTATCTAAGGATCTGAATAGATACAATTCCACTTTGTTATTTCATTTATTTATTCTTTCATCATAAAGCTTTTAATCTATAAAATTAATATGTAATATACAAGAGTAAAATGTACAGAAGTACCTTTAGATCTAATAATTTAAACCATCTGTATTCAGAGAGCAGAGATAACAAGTTTAAAGATATACAAACAATTGCAATTCAATTTTTTCAATATCTAGAAAAAAAAAGTGGCTTTGATTAATTAAACTTTATTTTAATTATTGTGAAAATATCTTTTTTAGAGTTTGTTTTTGTTACTTTTTTTAATTAAAATTATTTTGTAAATATTGTTTTCTATGTTTTATAACTTAGAAAGGCCATTAATTTGCATTGAGAGCAGCAGAGACTCAACATGTTGATTATAAAGATACTTTACAAGACCGGGGTGGATGTGAGGCAGTTGCCAGATTTGTCATTCCAGATTACACGTCCTGTTATTTCTTCAGTCTCACTGGCATGACAGGAAGAGTTTTCTGAGGTAATTTAACATTCTAATTTAAGGAGAACTGGCTATCAAGTGTCATTCTAAAGTGCTTCCCATTTTTATAACATAGAAAGAATATATATCTTAAAGTTAGTGCTGGTTCTTCTTTCATTGTTAGGATGTGAAACAACACAGAACTCAGAAATAAAAGGGAATTTAATAGATTATATACATGGATAGTGCAAAGACAAGGAAAGCTGTGGGATCTCTATGCTTGTAGGGAGCAGTAGAAGTGATAAAGCCTCACATTGGATTAGATCACAGAGCCTTTTTTAGGCAAAACCACTGAAGCCAGTGGTACTTTCACCTGCAAAAAAGTTGATTTTGATCATATCCAGCACCATTTTAAGCAGGAATTTCTGGCAGGCTGGATTTCAGGGGGAAGCACACAGGGTGTAATACTGGATTCTGCTTCAATTTGCTCCACGTAAACCACTGCGCAGGAGTGAGATTTTAAACTGAACTGTTGTAGATGCTGCTGGGACTTCTAAGCTTTATTACCAATGTAAATTGTGTACAAACAGCTATTTCCATATGAAATGTACAATAATAGTTTAGAGCAAGGGTAGTGAATAACTGTACAAAATTTGATACTTAGAAAATAAAATACAGTGCTAAGCTTTACCAATATTTTAACAATTATGTCAGATTTATAGTAGAAAATGTTGTTGTAAATGTACCTTATAAGAAAATACATTTCCTTTTGCCTCTGTATATTAATAGCTTTGATTTCTATGTCAAAGTTAAAAATGAAGCATGTAATAAAACTTTTGTTAAAATCACTTTCATAATAAACATAAAATGGAATGGATACCCCTGCCTGCCATTTATTTGTGTATAGGACAAAGCTTCTTGCACAAGTGTGGACAAGAATCAGAAGAGAACTTCTCTTTCTTGATAGCATTTACATATTTTGGTCTAATTTTCATCCTTAAGCAACAGAGAGGCTTTTGCTTTCTCATCAAACCGCTGGAGTTTGTGGAACACTGATACAAGTTCCTTCCAAACAGGCTTCAAGGAGAGTTTTTCAAAGAAGAAATGAAGAAATCCTGGCTACAGTGAAGGACCACATCACCAATATCCCTCCAGGACTTTTAACTACTTGTACTAACTCTGGTGTTACCATGTAGAGCTGATGCAGCTGCCCTTTTTCACAACCCTCTGTTGAGAAGCAGCCTCTAAGAAAGAGGCAGGAAGCTCTCATGTTCCAGCATGGCATGTGCCATTCTGCTGCTATCCTCAAGTAAGCAGTTCAGCTTGTTAAGAGAAAGCATTTATGATGTGACAGTATCAGCCTTGCTGATTTTATATATATATTGTTCATGATTATATATACTGTCAGTAAGAATGATAGCTCTTGGTGTCTGGCAGGTTTGAAAGGCATCAGGAAACTGGTTGCAAAATATCAATTACTGCCTTTTTCAGCTGGTAGGAATTCACTCAGGTAATATGGCAGCTATCCTCACTGCATTCCAAGAAGACACAACATCACTTTTATAGGACTACAGATGTGCCATATGAAATGACACTCAGCTGTCCTTTATGGCTTCAGAGTTTAAAATAAGTAACCAGAAAAGCCAGCTCCTGTCAAAGACAGAAAAGCTGAACCTCAAAGTCATTGAAAATCAAGTTGATTACTGGTAATGAAGTATCTGTGCACAAGGACAAAACCTGGAATGGGAATCTGGGGACGTCCCAGCTGACTAGAAGCTGGGCAAACATTGTCTCTGTTTTCAAGAAGGGCAAGGAAGGAGGACTCCAGAAACTCCAGGCCTGTCAGTGTCACTTCAAGTACCTGGGAAAATAATGGAAAAGGTTATTCTAGGAGTTACTGAAAAACACTTGTGGGACAACCCAGGTATTGGTCACAGCCAGCACAGCTTCATGAGGTAAAGTCCTGCTTGTCAAAACTGATTACTTTCTAAACAAGGCAAGTTTATAACAGCCACTTAAGTTTCAGCAGTCGTGACAGACTTCATTTGAATACGAGATTCTCATTTACTGGAACAGGCATTGCCTGGTATAAATTGCAGAGGAGTCCATTCTCAGTTCCAGTCTTGACTTCCCAACAAGTATACAAAACATAATGGCCTGAGGAACAGCACTCTGGCACAACCCAGCAGATAAGTGAAGGCAGGTTGGGCATAAATTATTTATTATTCTTTTGTCCAGGAATCAACATCAGCTGACTCCTGATGTCACAGAAAGGGCCTATCCTGTACAACCACCATAACTGGCTATTTTTGCCTCTTAAATACAATACCTAAATGGGCAGTCAGCACAGGATGAGGTATGCTACACTCCACAAGCACTTCTTAACATGTAGAATAACAGCATGTCCACCTCATTGTGTGTGTAGAACAGTATTCCTAAGTAATGGTCCAACTTTTATAAAACTAATATATTATACAGCATGCTATGTATGCCTAAAGACATAGGAGAGGGAAGAACACTGATCTGCCTTTGAAGGTACCCAAGCAGCTGGTGAAAAACTGCAGCAGTGGCTGTGCAGGAACAGCAGGATGCCTCAGGACTACATGGACACAAGATCCTTGGAGCTGCCTGGCAAGGTGTTTTTCATTGTTGTACCCTCAGAATGAGGGCAACCTCCCTCCATCCCAGTACTGCATGAGCAGTGGGAGAGTATCCTAGAGAGTAAAACACCTGCACTCATCAGTGTGTGTTATGTCAGCACATAATGTGGGTGCAGTAAATTTGTCTCTTTGGGGAAAACACTCAGGGGGAAGTATTGTTTGTGCCAGATAATTTGTTTGGTTTATTATCCTTCACACACTGATCTCTTGCCAGACTTAGACAGGAGGCTGAGTCCAACCTGCTAAGATCACTCATCCACCTGCAGGGCGTTCTCCAGGGCTTTTTCCAAACTCCACACTCACAGTGGGCACCCATTCCAAGGTGAAAACATGGGTTTCCCTCCTCACTCAGGTGACCATCCAGCCACACAACAGGACAGCACAGCCCCATTGTCCCACGGTAGCCAAGGTATGGGATAGACCTCATACAGACTCCAGCTAACAGGTGAGTGTTGCAAAACCTTCCCAAAAGTTGTACCTGTCCACAAAGCAAGCAGGCAAAAGCTATACACAATAACTCCTTTTTTGATGCAGAAGAATACATTTTCCCTTCTTAAAACAGCCTACTTACAAACCTCTCTGAAGTTTTAAACTCGCATATAGAGCTATAATAAAATATTTACAGCAAATGATGTTCTTCTGATCTAAGCCTCTAAAACAGTTTTCAACACTCTGAAGTTCTAGTTTTACCATTGAGAAAGCTGTTGACTTGAAAGCAAATGGTTTATTTTAAAACATATTACAGGCTTTATTTTGAAGTACACCAAAAATATGTCCCTTCATCTCCTTTTCACTGTGATGTTAAAGTCTCTTCTGCCCCTTATATCCTTACCTCTCTTAAGGAGGTTTCCTTGCCATGTTGGCAAAGGGGAGGGTTCTAACGTTAAACAACAGGTATATTAGGTGGGGAATGCACATCAGATCTATTTGGAATAAACATTTGGAATAAAGCCACAAACTGACAGACTCATAAAACTTTGAAAAACCCTAGCTGTATTTGTTGGGGGCAAATGCTGCTTCACATATGCTAACTCATGATAAATTCTGCTGCAAACTGTTGCAAGGTGGGAAGTAAATGTGGTGGTGATGGATAAGTCATGGGGCCTGCTGTGACAGAGGGGCTCAAGGGCTCTGTGGGCTGGCTTCCAATGGATAATGCCAGAAGGCTAAATGCTCTTATTTTAGACTGGGGTACTGCTAGTAAGCTCAGCCTTGCTGGGACCTATTTGCATTCTCTGTGAATTCCTATGTAAAGTAACCCATTAAATTTAACAAACACATTGCCTGAGTAAGGGTTGCACTGTTCAGGCACTGTGAATCAGCCACTCTTCCCGAGGAAACAATCAGAATAAAACACTGTGGTAATTTCTCTTTACAAAGACTGTGCACAAACACCTGCTTTCATGAGGCTGGCAGTGGTACTGGGCTGTGGCTCTGGCATCCATCAGAGCAGGAAGACTGCTCCTGAAAGCCTCACAGTGCTTGAAGCAGTGGTGGGAGAATGGTGAGTGCTGGCCCCTGCTCTAGGAATTACTGCTGTGAAAAACCAGCAGAAAAAGTAAAACAAGCTGCCAAGCACAGCAGCTGAGCAAGACCACATTTAGGCAAGTGCTGGACAAAGTCAGGGAAGAGCCCACTTACAGTCTACTCTTAACATCAGTGATTCTCGCTGTGTCTTATTTATTACTTGTAGTTTATCAGCAACAGCCCCCAGACCTGCAAACTCAACCTAAGAGTCAGCCAGCAGCCACTGCTCCCATCCAAAGTGAGGTGGAAGTGCAAACAAGCAGTGAGAAGGCAGCTGCCTACACTTAGTGAGAAAAAGAATTATGTAAATGTCATGTTTGGACAGGATCACATTACCCTTGCATTATCGCTGTGGTACTACTGAACAAAACATGAAGACACCCTAAACTTTTCCTCCTTGGTCTGTTTAAGGAAAAAAAGATAGATTTTTTTTTTTTTTTTTTTAAGGTAAGTAAAAGATTTAACTACATAACATGACAAAGACAGAAGTGAGGGAAGGGTGGCCTTTTCAGTAAGCAAGGTCCCCAGGAGGACTACTAATAAGTGGTCAAATCTCCACATTTTACAATTCTAGGGCAAGATCAACACCACAGCCATCCCCTTTTCCCAAACCACAATATTAGCAAAAAATATGCTCAAAATCAGGGTAGCAGGATGGGAACATAGTCAGGGAACACTGGAAATCCAACTATTTTTTTGATCTTCTGCTGTTTAACCAGAGATGTCTCCTTAGAGACATCCTAGTGAAGTCTTTATGCTGAGAAAATGTGGGAACACAGCATGTGGTGGGGCAGACACAGTCTCAGGCAAAGAGGAAAATTTGCCTGCATTTACTATTCAGATATCCAGCCTGAAGATTTGAGTTAGATCCTCAGCTGCTGAGTGCTGAGATATAGTTACAGCACGTAGGCACCATTTATAATCTTTTTCTACTCTCTCTCTGCCCGGCCAACCTATTGTAGCCCTTTAGTTTATAGAACTTTCTCCTGAATAATTCTGTGATTATGTGGAGAAAGGGATTGTTGCAGCTCTGTAGTTACAGAGGACCCCAGTCCAGCAACACTAGACAGGGCAGAGAGCAGAGGTATTTCTTCAACATGGCACGTTCTCCACTGACTGTAGTCTGTGAAAGTGAAGCTTTCTTGAGCAGCCACTAGATCCAATTTCTTGGACTTGGCTATTTCCAGAGCTGTAGGACGCCCCTCCCAGCACAGTGCTGTGCTGCCAGCCCAAGCAGCGCTGAAGATGAAACCTTGATTTGAGGATGGGCTGGCAGGAAAAGGAATTTCCACGGTCTGTGGAGCAGACAATCTGCAGAGGGAGCGATGTGAGCTCTCCCAGCAGCCGCAGTGGGCACAGCAAAGCCCTGATCTGTGCTGGAAGCAGTGTCAGACACCTGGCTTCGCTCTTGGAGCTTTATTACCATACCTGAGGCAAGACCAAAGCTACCAGTAATGTTTAAAAAGCCTCAGGTTAAACTGGTTTAGGCTATTGACCACAAAATCTTGGAAGAGACTTTCTCAGAAATCTCTTCTGAGCCATCCAAGGAAAGAACTGGAAAGCCAGCGCTCTGCCACAGACGCTTACAAAAAACACGCTCCCTCTTGTACTGACAGATATTCAAGACACGCCTACATGTTAAAACTCCCTTGTCAGCGTTCAAAATAACAAAGCTTTATTTCAATAAATG